AGCACCAGAGAAATACAACTAATTTAAAACATATTTTAAAAATTAGAAGAGAAGAAAGTTTGCCTGGAGATTAAAAACAACTGCAGACGTGTGTGTAAATGAAAAGTATAATGAGAGCATTAAAGATTATTTGGATACTTTAAAAACACTCATTCAGCCAGTCATTCATTTTTCATCACATAATTATTTAGCATTTATAATATGCATAGCCGGGTAATGAGTCTCAATACGCCAAGAGAGTATTGGATACTAACTAGTTCCAATGCACCCAAAGGCACACATTTTAAATGACATGTGATAAGTCACAGAGAAGCACTGATGTCTGAATAAGTAAAAACAAATTGCCTACAGAAATTGCCATATGTATAGATGTACAAATGAACTGTTCACCTCAGAAGATTTTTACAGCTTCCGATGTAAATCATATTAATTGAGGTAGACCATTACTTAACGAAGGAAGAAATAAGATAATATTATAATATCTCATTTATCTGGAGGTACAGGAAAGTTCCAGGCAGCTGCTGCATCAGCTAACTGGAGTAATGATACCAGTTGTGAACAGATGATCATTTTTCAAAGAAGTAAAATATCATAAAATTCAGTGAACATTAAATCTAACAATAGATATGCAGAGAATATGAACTGGGATTGAGTTATCATTTGTTTCCTGTTCACGGAGTTGAGGTGCGTAAATTATGTTGATTATGAAAGATCAATTCTTAATCACTAAACAAAGGAATTTAATGAAAAATAGAACGACTGGTGTGATTCAAAGACTAGAGATGTGTCACAAAGGGATAAACTAAAAAAGTGAGAAAGTTAGGCTCACAAATCTAGAGCTATTCTTATAGAGAAGAGTGAGAGGAGCAAAAGTCTCAGAAATAGGATATTATAGAAAAGTAACACAACCTGGAGACAAAGGGAACAGAAATTAACATAAGTACTAGGAAAAAAATAATCCTGAAAAAGATGTGCATCTATTTAGTGATGTATGGAGCTAGGAGACAGGAATGTTAAAAAGGCCACATACAAGAATGCTTATTTGTGGACTTTAATATTTGAAAAAGTGATGCTATGTTTATGACATTATAGGATATACAAATCCCAGAGAAAACACTATATGAAGATATGTAAATATGAGGGTGCTGTGTGCCAGTAAGAGAAGTTGTTTATTTTGAATCCTATGTACACTCTTACCACACTATTGAGTTCAACAGATTAAGAAAACTCACAGAAGGCAGATTGAGATAATGAAGGGATTGAAAGAAATGTGACTAAACAAAACATGCTCTACAATTTTAATCAACTGAAAACTTGAAGTGCACCATAGAAATAACATCGATGCCCAAAAGAATTTTCTCAAAATGACGTTTACTGAAAAGAAGACTACGTAAAGTGTCAGCAATTTTTCAAATGGAATGTTTCAAAAGTTCTGACACCTTTTCTTGTGTTAAGAGCAAACTGAATTGAAGTTTGAAGGGGATTCAAAAAGTAGGCAAAATTAAAATTAGGTCAGGAGACAGCTCGTAATTTTTTGGCATGCATGGACTGGTCTAAATGACGTGTAATACGAAGGCAACATGGACCATGACACTTCAGTAAATCGTTCTTTACAGTTCTAGAAACCTAGAATATTTCATGAATACAGTATTTAAAAATTAATTATGTCATTGTATTTCTTCATTTCATTCAACATAATTTATTATCTCATGACCCTTCAAATTAATGAAAAAAAGATTTTCACAAATATATTTTAGATGAAATTTCATTGGTTATTGTCTTTTGACTGTTGCCAATTCTTAGGCACTGATTATATTTATCAACAAGAAATCAAATTTCCAAATAATGAATCCTGAAATCCTGAAATCCTTTGTTTCATTTAGGCTTATTTGAACCGAAAGATATGTCTCATCCACTGACAAAATCAATCGTTAAGTGATGATGTTCAAAATGTGTAGCCAAAATCATAAGCAAGAATGATTGCAAAAATAACATAATTGTTTTAACTACTGGGTTTTTCTAAATTACCTTGATAATACAGCTTTTATCAACTATTCTGGAACTTAAACTATTTTTATGCTCCTTATTTGCTGATATTATTCAGAATGTGTCATTTGAAAGACTGATTTTATATAAGGTGTCTATAATACTAAAGAATTTCATGAATTCTTCACTATAAAATGTGATGTTATTTTTAAAGTCCAGGTAATATTTTTTGTGTTTCATTTTAATAAGTGTTCAAAACAATGATTAACTTTTATTAAAAGTTAAAGGGATACTTTAGAATTTCTTATTATTCTAAAAAAGATAAAGCCAAGCTAAAATTCATCGGCATTTTAAGATAAATCTAAACACTGAGTTTTGAATATGACCATATTCTACATATTTACATTTATTTCTTCAGTCCTTCAGTGTATCCCTTTGGTTTTTACCAGAGTTTTAACAAACTACAATATCGTAACAAAAATAAGAGCAAACAAGCTCATAAGGTGTTCATGACTAACGAGTATTAATAGAAACTTTCAAAATCGCTCCTGATTTAAAAACGAACTTTCATTTCATTAAATGCATCACGTATATTCTTCACAGATCTTTTCTTACACATTGGAAAAAAAAAAGAAAAAATATAGCTGTATGTAAGCATTTCTTTAAAAAAAGAAACACAGAAACTACTTTCTTTAACATGTGCATACACGTACTTTTATGTAAAAGTTGGTTTCTTGCAAGTTTAAATTTTAAATTTTGCAATCACAAGTATAGAAACGGGAAGTCCTTGGGCACAGACAATGATCTCATTTGTATTATTAAGCATATTAGCATTTCCTCATCATTTTATAAATGGCAGTGGTAGCTTCATTAGGCTTTATTTTTAGAGCTCTACAAAAATAACCAAATATACAGTTGTTTTTCTCAACATCAAAATGTACGTTATGTTTACTAAAGAACTAAATGCATGTTTAGCAAAATAACACTCTATCTCAATAATTATTTAAACATTCTGATTCAAAATAAGTTATAGATGTCAAAATTTTAATTTAGTTACGTAAGGGACATGCTTTCAATTTAGAAGATGAGAATACTTCCATTCCTGATGATAAATAATACAAATATGAATGACTACCACCATGTGAATTTGGAGGGCAAAATGATCAGGCATGGTTTTGATTTATAGTTTATACTATTAAATTAACCATAAAATTGACTATGTCTATTAATATCGGGCTCATGATGTAATTTTAAGTTAATATTAAACACTAAAAGTTGAAGTCATACAAATAGCTAAGGAGAGTATAAGTAAAAACAACAAAATACTTATATTTTTGCTTCTTTTTCACCTAGGGCACACTTCATCCCAAACCCTAAATTTTGAGTGGTGTGAGCTGGCTAAAACAGAAAAAAAATAGTTTTTTAGAACTAATTTATTCTACCATATCTGAGTAATATGGAAAAAAATCTTAATTTTCTTAATTAAATGATACATGAATTCTTTGATTTCTAGCAACACACATAATAACTATTTTAGGTTATTTTAAATCACTAATGTGTGTAGATGTGTGAGCTAAACTTTAGGACTTTAGCATCCAAATTTCATCAGTTATGATGTTGGACATTTCAATACTTTCTAAGTATATGTGGTCTCCTTGCATTTTATAACGCCAAAAAATAAAGCAAAATAAATATCAATAGTTTATAGACAGGAGTAGTTATTTGGTTCTGAAATGATATGGGGTAATGGTATTTCCAAGAAATCTGAAAAGTTGAATTGAATCCTTCATAAAACAGTTTAATCGGTGTTGCCATCACAATGTATGTTTCCAATGGCAGATCCATGCCTTTATCAATGGCTAGAGTAGTAGTCTTGTCCTCGGTGTATTCAATTCATGCCTTTCATATTTACATTCATGAGTTAAAATATATGTTCTTCTAGTTTGTCTTTCCTTTAGGTATTTTTTTTCTATTTCCCTCCCATTCCTGAAGTCATGAAAGTAATGATACACCTGCAAACTGTTTTATTTTTGTTTCTAGCTTATGATCCCATGATTTTCTTTTTTTTTTTTTTTTTTTTTTTTTTGTACTAGGGGATGAAAGTAAGAAAACACCATGTACGTTAGATTTGCAATACAAAATAAAAGTCATCTTTTGATTGAGTCTTTGTGAGTTTCATCCTTATCAAGTATTAGTTTATGTGGTTTGACCAAACTATTGAATTGTCAGTGGTATTTACCGATTAACTAAAAGAAAAAAAGATTCCTATGTAGCAGAGAATAATAGGATAATTTCATTACCAAGACCCTCAAAGAAATATACTACAGAATCTCTAAGCATTTTTATTTTCACTGTGGTTGTATAAAAAAATCCACTTAGAGAATATGGTCCCAATATTGAAAGAGAGGAGTACAATTTTGAGCATCTCCATTGTTAGAAGAATGTATTATTTTAAGTAAATGAAGAATATTGCTTTATTCGTATGTTTCCATCACATAGTTCCTCTGATTCTGACCATATGAACATATTACTAAATCACGTTGAATGGTCAAAGTGATAGCTGCGCTGATTTCTTAATTTAGCCTAAAATGTTTAATGTCACTGTGGGAAAAGGATGATTATGTTAAAATGCTGGCATCAATAAAAAAATGAGATCTCCCAGTGACTCAAGTGTCAAGAGATGTTTTTCCATCTTAATTAAGCCCTTCAAAACACATGGAAATCAAGTAAGCAAGCGAGCAATATTCAAAGGAAATATGAAATGCATTTGAAAAATGTTTTCAACATCAAAAGTTATGTTTGATTGTTGCCAACAACCATGTCCTAACACAGAAACCTGTCTTCCTGTTAAGATATTCATTTTTCCATAGTAAAGGACTGCCTGCATCCAAGAGTCACTTTTATCTTTGTTTCTGAAAAACAACCTGAGCTCTATTTTCACTAAGAAGAATGGCATGTTGAACTTTATTCCCTCAAAGGGAATACTTTGATAAAGGCTTTTATGTAATACTTACTCAAATATGGTGGTTTGTAAGGCGCTCGTGTATTAGACAGCAGTCCATCCAGCTCCTTCCTCTCCAGGGTGCTGTGAAGGGCCTTCTCTTTGCCAAAGGTGGAGAAAGACCTCTCCGCCCCAGGCTGGGCTTCTGGAGTTTCAAACACCTCAGTGTCTGGAACAGAGTCCATGCCAGGAACATGCAGATTGCTGCGATAATCCGCAGCCTGGCGTCCATCCGCAGGGACAAAAGAAGGCATCCAGCACCGATCTGAATGGCCCAGCGCTTTACATTCCTCAGTACAGTTGGAGAAGAGATCCATGCCTGTAAACAAAAGGGAAACTATGGATCCAGGTTTCACTAATGTGAAAGATTACAGGTAGCATAAAGAGTGCTGGGTGAATGCGTTTTAACAAATTTTTCTTGCCTTAACCTCATAGGCATCAAAAATGTCTCTGTACTATTGTGCAAAGGGTTAGACTCTTCTAGCAAAGAGGACCTTAAGGTAGATAGATCTTTCTAAAATTCTCAGAGTTGGGAAAAAGCTGTGGGGAAAAAAAAAAAAAAAAAAAAAAAAAAAAAAAAAAAAAACCTAGGGAATGGTGAGTAGAAAAAGAATGAATATTTTTAAAAATCTCTGGTGAAATTCATAATAGAGAAAAATGTAAGTATAAAGCTTTTATAATCCATAATCTCTAATGATGATAAGGCATCCAACATGTTTATTTTTCCCTTAGAGACAAAAACATCAGAAATACGTAAAGCACAAATGATGATATTTAGATTAAGAAATCTAGACATTAAACAGAAAGTGAAATCCAAGAGAAATACGGCACACATATTGATAAACCAATAAATAACAAGAATGAAACAACATTTTGTGAGTGGCCAAGAGCATGCTTTCTTAGCATCTCAGAAAATGACCCTAAAAGGTATAGCTCAATGACATTCTGGTAGCCCATATTACTACTTATTATCGCCACTGCAGACAAACCCAGAACAAATGACTATAATTAGTGAAACCAAGGTAATCAAGTGTAATGTGAGTCAGCTGCAGATACTATTGACAAATACCTTATTACTTGTTTCACACTGGAAACACTTGTCCTAGTGAACACAGAACTGTTTCCTTACTAATCCTAGGATACTAAGATTTCAAATGACACCTTCAAGTTTCATCGTCTCCCACAGATTGACAAGACTATTAAATATTATCTGGTTGTGACTCAAGAAAGCTCAGTTTCTTAGGCAAAGCATAATAATTTTGAGCATTATAGAATACTATTTGACATTCATTTTGGTAACTACCCCTATTCAGAAAAACAAGTACATAAACCATAATCACATTTTAATATTTTTCTAAACATACTAACACATTTATTGTGCATGTTTTTAAACAGGATCAATTTAAAATAACTCAAGTATGATTATTCTGCAGAAAAGAAGCTCTCAAATGCATGAGCAGTCTGGAAAAACGATGAATTTCTTTTTTAATCAACAGAGTCATATTTATTTAATGAACCCATCTGATTGTTTCTTCTTACAAATATCAGGAGTGATTTTGAACTCTTGAGTTTTGGTTTTTAAATTCCTAATGGCCTTTTGTCACAAACTGCTTTACGTGTTTGTGTGTGTATATATTAACATCTGTATATATAAAGTATAGAAAATAATTTTTTTCAGAGTATTAATCTTCTAGATTGTCCACAAGTATTTTGGAGATAAGAACAGTTAATTATGTAAATTATGTTTAAAGAAATAAAATGAATCTTCTTATCATATATTAATCTCACTTTATGACTTTTTTATTTTAAATTAAACTATGTATAATGCCGAGTCTGGCTTCGATTATAGTGTTCCATTGATAATTGTCATGCATAAGCCTTGAAATAAATTACTGATCAGTGAACTGTTGAGGAACTTAAACGTGAGCTGAAACCTGGATGAGGAACCAGGTTAAGAAAGCATGTAAAATATGTCAGTGTTTTTTTGACACCAGGGTAGCTGAGGTTTTTTTTTTTTTTTTTTTTTTTTTTTTTTTTTTTTTTTTTTTTTTTTTTTTTTTCCCTATTTCTTCACAGAGATATTTAGAAAGAAAAAGAAAAAAGGAAAGAAATTGATACACATTGACATCCTAGGTTGGTAGAAGCTATAGAACCAAAGAGATTTATATTTTGAATACTGTACTAGAAACACTCCCTATTTGAAATATGATAGAGCAAAAAAAAATTTTTTTTTGATAGATGGAATTACTGTTCAAAGTAAAATGATTGTGAGCAATTATTTATTTTAAAATTAAATCCAAATCATAATTAAGTTTGAAGTTGGTGGAATTAATACAAATATTAGGATAATACTACATTATTAAACCATAATAAAAATGGGTATTAATGCAAAATTTGGAATACAGTTTTTTCTCACACGACCGATGAATATCATTTTAAATATACGTGATACCATTAACAATCTTTCCCATCTTTTCGAGCAGCTATACTCTCAAGTACTCTCCTAATTTTAAATGTGATCATCTGTCTTATAGAAAAATTTTAATAAAATAGTCTCTCAACATTATTAAGATGTTGTATGTGTTAGGAGGTACTTTTAGTAGAACTTGTTTAATTAAATAGTTTATACTCAGTTGCGCCCATTTTCTTTTCTTGAAGTGTCTGGTTTTCTGGTCTTCAGCTTCTTTAATTATTAGAAACTAGGGGCGCCTGGGTGGCGCAGTCGGTTAAGCGTCCGGCTTCAGCCAGGTCACGATCTCGCGGTCCGTGAGTTCGAGCCCCGCGTCAGGCTCTGGGCTGATGGCTCAGAGCCTGGAGCCTGTTTCCGATTCTGTGTCTCCCTCTCTCTCTGCCCCTCCCCCGTTCATGCTCTGTCTCTCTCTGTCCCAAAAATAAATAAAAACGTTGAAAAAAAAAATAAATAAATAAATAATTATTAGAAACTAGTTAAAATTCTCTCAGACGATGTAATCAAGTTCTCACGAGTCAAGAACCCGTACAAAAATGATATCATGTGCACAACAAGAAAAATGAGAAATAGGATGAAGTTTTATGCTGGAAGAACAATTTTACCTGACAGAGAAAACACTTGTAAATGATGTTCTTACTGAATTCATGAACTAGTCTTTTAAAAGCGCGATTCCCACAGTAATACCACACAGCTATATGTAACCAGAATGAAAGATAAGGTGCTACAAATTGTGCATGAACATACTCCACCAGTTTTACTGACAAAACAAGTGTACCAGTTTCTCAGGAGGAAAATGTCAGACTCAGAAGCAAAATTAAAAAATAGTAACATAAAAACTACATCAATACATGTCAAATCATTTGTCTTTTAGATACATGATTTGAGAACCAAGTAAATATACCTGTTACTTCCTTACTTGAGGGAGTCACTGAAAGACTAACTATTCTTTTCTTTTTTTTTTCTTTTTTTACCTTCTTTCATTTATCGCCAGTCCCATTAAATATACTGTTTAATGGCCAAATAAGCAGAAGTATGTTTAAGTTCTGTTGTGATAAATGACTACATGATATACAGGAATGCCAGGTCTTCCGGGACAGGTGATGTATTAAAATGTATGCTTTTCACATTGCCCTTGGAATTTTTTAATAGCTCAAAGTGAAGGCCCCAGAGAAAATAAATTTAAGGTGATTTTGATATTTTCTCATTCGAATGCCCCTAAGTATAGAACCTGTGAGATTTGTTTAGCAGAAAAATACAGGCCAAACCTCAGTTTTGAAGTTTTGGTAATTTCTAAGAATCATCTCAACATATATATATATATATATATATATATATATATATACACACATATATATACACACACACACACACACATATGTATACATACACATATACACATATATGTATATACATGTATATATGTATATACATATATACACATATACATACATATATATACACATATACACACATACATATACATTACTTGAAATTTCTTCTCCTAGTTATTTATTTTTCCCACTTCTCAGAAATAATCTGTTCTAAAAGGCATGACAGCTGACGTGATAGACTGCTTGTTATGCAAAGATATATTTAGACAAATTTTAAAATACATATTTTTGAACTGGCAAGTAACTTGTTCTTTATAGTCAGAGGCAGTGCTATTACCATTGAGAACAAATCATGATTTCAAAAATATTACAATTGTATTCAGTTTGTGGTGTTTTCTGATGAATGTAACAATATAAAGTTATGTGTGCATTTCTTTCTCATGCACCAAGACTTCATAAAAATGCTTAATTTTTCGTAACACGATAAATTAATTTTAAAGAAAATCAATACTTAATTTTTTGAAGAAATTTCCAGTCTTCCTTTAACCACTTACCAACAACAAAAAAATGGAGAGATATTAATTATAACCGCAAAAATTGGCATAAGTTTTAGGAAAAGATAGCTTGGACGCAGATATTTATTAACATGATTCACTCATGAAAAAATCAAAACATGTGCATCAAAATTTCTCCTCATTTATCAATCTTCCAGTGTGTTGATATTTTTCTCCATTTTCTCTAATATTTTGTCATATGCGTTTTTCCAATTATAAATCTCTCTGTAGCATCAAGTGGCAGTTCAGATTTTCACCAGTAACACGAATAAGCTTTTGCAAACAATCATATAAATTCACTTTATTTACAAATCCAGATGCTAATCTGCCAGTATCTACATTCTGAGTGGAGCTGGGAAAGGGAAATTTGTATTGATGATAAATCAAAAATTGTCTTGTTGGTCTTGTAAGAATGGTGCAATCGCTGAATATGTTTCATGGTATACTTTACAAGTTTGGAAATACTGGCAACTCCAGTCACTTTGTTTTTTTAACATGTAGCCAAATTTTGACCGCATATCCTGCATCGATCTCAATAATTAAAATTAACACACCTAGTCTAAGTTTCCTTGTAACTGAAGATCAAATGTACAAGGAAGAGAGGTTTGACAATTTTCAGGTAAACTATAACACGTAACATTAACAGAATCATTTATTAGGTTGTCCTTTTCAATATATTTTTTAAGAGGACACAGATATTAGAAATAAATTGATAAGTCTAATAGTGTGCATATCACAAATATTTAATAAGCGAGGCAAAAAATTCTTATAACTAAATATATCTCCTTAGATGTGCCTGTAATAATGTTAAAATGTTTAAGAATATGCAACTAAAATTTTTGTATCAGTATTCCAAATCAGAAAAAGATATCTTAATCTTATGATATAATAAACAAAATTGAAACCATATTTCTTTTAAGTACACTTTGACTTATTTGTGGCTATTTAAGCTGTGATTCATCAGATTTTCCTCTTGTGATGGTTTATGCATACATTTACCACATCTCCCTGGACTTCTGCCATATCTAACCAATACATCAATAGCACACTGAAAAAAACGGAAAGCACCTTGACAAGGCTATAGAAAGAAAATGCCACAGAGCAGTGGTCAAGCCGAAGAATTTCACACATGGAGCCAGGTGCAGTAGAAAACTGAAAAAGCTTATGTGATTCTCTGTGCAGCTGCCTCCGTGTTTAAAGCCCTTCTATGAACAAGATTGGTGACTCCAAATGGCTTAGAAAGGAGAAAAGCAAGGGGGGGGGGGTGGAGAAAGAACAAAAAAGAAAACTATTCATAGTAGAATAAATAGAAGGCATATCGAAATAAATAAATACAAAATAATGCTAACAGAAAAAGAAATCAGGGATAAATAAAGAGTTAGCAAGTTTAAACAGGTGAAGCACTGAGCTACATAGTGTATATAATGAAATATGGAAGAAGGTACACACTGAAGTAGAGATTTCAGAGTCTGTATCTTTCTAATGTTATTTTTCCATGGCAATCTGGTGTTCTTCCCCTAAAAACTAGCTCAGTGAGATTTGCTGATGTGTATGAATTTTTTTTTCATATCCTAAACCTGGATATAGACGTGCTATGAATAATATTTCCTAAATATTACACAACTAGAAGATCATTAGCACCTGGCATTACAAGAAAATAAAACAGATGTACTTATTTCCCTGAAATGGGCTTAACTTTTAGGAAATATTGTAGCCACTTGGTGTGAAGTTTATAGGACACAACATCAGTAGGGACTGGAAAAAGTCATTAAGTAGATGGATTTCAATTCTCTGCACTTAGGGTTTCATACTTAAAAAAAAGAAAACACTTCAAAATCATTCTTACCATAAAATTAGACATATTAAATCTGATTGCAATTCAGCACACAAAGGTGAGATTACTTCTTAATACAAGCGTGTCATTACAATTCTAAAAGAGCAATTATCGCACTCAGTATGTTGTGCCTGCCTTGTAACTGCCAAGGAAATACAAAAGTAAATTGTTAATTCTGTGATACTTTTCGTGTTTAAGAATGTAAAGACACAGGCAAATTTTACCACTGATAAAGAAAAATACAAACTGCCTTGCTTTTTGGAAATTTTTCCAGTACACAATGTAGCATTTTAATTTTCCTTGTAATGCTTTGACATCTCAAATAATTTGAAAGAAACATTACCGAAATGGCAACAGTGAGTGCCTGTGAAATAAAACAGCTACTGGGAAGACGCATTGATAAGAATATATTCCCATCCATCTTCCAAATTTAGCACTTTTTGCAGATGTTTATTCGTTTCTCTTTCTTTGGTTAGGTTATTATGGCTCATTATGTCTGAGGGACTAAACTAATTGAAATGTTCATTGAGATTGCAGTGCTACAGAAAAACAACAACAACAACAACAACAACAACAAAACAAAGCAGAGGGTGGGGGAGTGGGAAAAGAATAAAATGCACCCAAGGAAACATGCACCAGATACTCTGTTTTAATATTAAACATTTTGTTTTAAAAGTTTAAAAAAGGCTAACTTAAATTAGAAACCCTGGAAAAAGAACAGGAATGAGCAATTCTACATGTACAGCTTTTTAAAGATAACAATAAATCATATGTCATATATAGGCCAAAAATGAAAGGGACTTTGTACTCAAATATAAACTTCTGGCAAGATCTGGTTTGTTGTCAGGTTCCCAGACACTAAATAGATGCTCTGTTCACTTAGCGTGAAGGCCCGCAAGGGGCAGGGACCTCCGGGGATTCTTGGCAGTTCTCAAGTCTCATTAGGTCTGCATATTAATGACTTGCAGCAATATAAAGAGACCCTTGAGCAGCCTTTCCCCCCCTCCTCCTGCCTGTGTTTCCCAAGGCTAAGTCAGCCTCAGACACAGCACACATTGGCCAAGTGGGAGGCTTGCAGTAACCACTGCTGCCAGGCGACCGTGGGGTGTGGGCTGCCCTTTGACACACTGCCTCAGCACGGTTTAGAGGTCCACCGAGTGTGTTAAGGAATGTGTGCTCTCTAGGACCAATATTACCTTGAGAATCAGGACTCTCTCACTCTAGGGTTACATCGTTAACCAAAATGGAGCTCAAAAGCATGTGACCAGAGTTGAATCCAGAGATGGCCCAATGATGGACATTTTTACAAGTCACAAAAGTTAATTCATTCGCCTTTCCATTTCTTTTCTCATGTCAGCAAACCACAAACCTCAAAAAAGAAAAATTAAAAAAAAAAAAAAAAACAAAAAACAATCACCCTACCCTTCTTGGTTGAAAGGCCAACGAGGTGGAAAATCCAACCTCATTTAATCCAACCTCAAATATGAAATCATTTTCATCATTGTAAGGTACATATTTTATCTTTAAAGTGTCTTCTTTAAGTATTAGTAAGCAGAGTTATTGGCATCCTATAAAACTTAACAGTTAAATTTATATAGACAAAAGTAAAGCAAATAAACAATGTAAAACATCTGTGTCACATTGCAACCCCATCAGTGACTATCATTAAGCTCGTATACAAATACACACAGGGTTCAACTTTTGACAGGTCATGGGCCTTATTGAAAATATGAGGAAATCTAGGATGCTCGAGAAAATACACATTATCAAATGTTTCCTAATGTCCTGAAGCCTAAGAACCCAGCATTGGAAACCCTGCTTTCAGGCTATTCATGACTTTTCATCACCATTCCTTCTACCATTCAATACTCAGTGGCTTACAAAATGCACGGCTCTCAAAAGCAAGAAATTTGGATTCTAGTTCCCAATCATCCAATTATTCTCTTGTGACTTTGTACAGTTCAATCAATTTCATTCATCTTCAGCTACCTCATCCATAAACAAGTCTAATAATACCTTAATTGACCAAAGACTGAGGACTGGACCAGGTGAGAAATCTATAGCTCTTTGTATGCAATACAATTGCACTAAAGAACATTACATAAGGAAGAAATAGCTCATATTCTAACGTATTTCACAATACATCTCTAGCTTTACCTCTCTGAAGGAACATCAAATTTTTATAATCCTCTTTGAATATACACTTATCAACATAACATGACACCATTTTTTCTGTGGATTTACCAACATTAAACCTACAGAAAATTACCTAGGACATCATTCTTTCTAGATTTATTTAAAACAACAACAACAACAAAACCATAAAAGTCAGCATTGCTCTTTGAACACACTTACCAGCTGACTGGCCGCGGTTGGTGGCATCGTGATCACTATCTCCTTGTTCACTGTCTCCATGACCACTGTCCTTAGAGCTTACTATGTCAGCTTCCTGGAATGCAGAACTAGAAGTACAAAAACGTGAATATTAGAATAAAAAAGGTGAAGAAACACAGAAAACATTCTTCTGCCACCACATGGTCAACAATGGTGCTGCAGATTCATAGACCTCTCAGTTGCCTTTATTTCTGCATAAAGCTGGTTTTCATCACCTTAAACTTAGCTCTTTAAAACTGAGCAAAGCAGGTGGTTGAGCCCTTAAGGTGTATCTAGTTTAGCCATTTTCTATGATTAGAGTTATGTATATGTTTATATGATTTTCATAAAAGAGAGTATCCACCTGGAACAGTTAGGGAGACTATCAGAAGCAGCGTAGGCGTGTAAATTGATAAGATATTCAAATATATTCAGTAAGTTGTATATAAATGAAATATGCCCAGATTTTAATGTATTGTCTAGGAACCCCAACATAATCAGCATGTATGTTCTGCCTTAACTGGAAATGCTTTATACATTTTATATTTTAATATTGAATAATACCCCTAATTCCTAATTTTAGTAGGTTGTAAATTGTCCACACACCAAGGTAGGAAAAAAAAAAAAAAAAAAAAAAGAGTCCATACCTGTTAACTCGGCGAGGTCTGTCAACTAGATAGCTGAGCTCTGCTCGCTGGTGTTTAGTCTAGAAAAAAAATAAATAAATCAAGAGCATTTGAATGTAAGGGTCTAACTAACAGTCCTTTTTTTGAGGTAAGGAACTGAGTCTAGTTTAAGTAATTGTGTGCATTTTTATGAATTTTCAAGCTATTCTAAGACTTCACCCTAGTGAATGCTGGGTAAGGGGTGGGGGGATATGCAGAGACACTCAATCTAGACTTTCAGTAAAGGTTAAAAAAAAAAAAATCCAAAAATAAAAAGCCAATTTTAAACGTGTGTATGTGTGTTTTTAAGGAGAGAATGCAAATGACCTCATAGCTAGGGCTCATAAACTATTGTCCCTAATAGAGTCAACCTAGGTAAACTCTACAGTCTTTCTTTCAGTGGCCTAAAACAGTGTTTAGGTGCATACTGGTTGACACAAGAAAAACAGCACGCTCAATAAGCAAAAAGTTTGGATATTTTATGGAATTATTTTGTTGTTTATTTTCAAAATGTGCTTAAGATACAAATGAACTGTACAAATATTCATGAAAGTCAATTAATAATATCTAAGACTCAAATAAAATAACCTGCCAAGAAAGGAATTCATAAAGCCCCCCCCCCCCATTCTTTTCCCCCTCCAAACGCCCTCTGCATTCTCCTCCCCCCATCTCCGGCATCCACACACCTTTTCCGGTCCAAACTTTCTAGTACATAAATCAACCCTGTTCTCCCCCTCCCTCCCACCTTCCAACTTTGCCACTTCTCCATCTTTTAAATAGAAATCGGAATTGACAAGCCAAATTCTTTGAGGAAGAAAGCCAACAGTGGTGATTTATCAAGAACAGTGGCAAGAGGTGATTATTAGTTAAGAGATATATTTAAGGTAACAATTGCTTGAGCCTTTCTTTAGTTTACGCTTACAGGGGTTTGTGCCAAAGTAACTTCATTCAAATTCACACTGTGTGGGCCTTGGGTTTCAAGAGCGTTTGTAAATGCTGTCCAGAGCAGAACTGAAGGCTTTTCTGCAACCCGAGTTCAGGGGACAAGGATCTGATAAGTTATTCGCTAAAACATGCATTCGAGTTTAGACGACTGTGCAAAGTTAAACAATCTATAGCTTACTTTTACACGCGACTGAAAGCATCGATAAACAAAGCAAACAGCATTAACTTTATTAACGCCTGGGACAAACGCAAAGAGAAAAAGACCTTTGCCGGTGCCAGAAAGTCCCTCCATCACATTTCCCTCGGTCCCCCTCCTACTTTTCCCTTTACCCTCAGAAAACTGAGAAGGGAAAGGACTGAGAAGGGGTTAGGATTTTAAAGGAACGATGCCCGAGGGAAGAAGGAAGGTCCAAGGTGGCAAAGCACCAAGGGGAGGAAATGAAAGTAAATGTGGAGGGGTGGAGCGCAGAAAATTAGGGACAACACGAAGTTTAGGTTACATACGAAGGGGTGGGATAGCCGCCCCCGCCCAATTCCTGCCCCCACAAAGATACAAAGAAGTTAATATCCTAAATATAAATACAGAGTGCACCAGAGATACAAGGGCCGGGCTAGAGGAGGCTTTCAGATGGAGGAGATGAGAGATGGTGGTCCTTTCGCTTCAGCCTTACCTCGTTGGACAAAATGCTTCCGTTGGAGATGATGTCGGGCTGCTGGTCTGTGTAGCCGGTGACGATGGCCCCGCAGGGGTTGTGCTCAGTGTCCGTACTCCGCGATGGGCTGCAGGGCTTAAGGAACATCAGGTCGGTCTTGGCGGACTCAGGAGTCAGGCAGACCTGGTAGCAGTAATTCTGGTTGTGGTGGTGGGAGCCAAAGCCCCCGGACTCCTCCACCGGCACTTGGGCCGGGTTACTGGGTACGTTGGAGCTTTGCACAAGCATGATGTCCGACTTGCTGAGTTTTTTCTTGCGCGCCCGGGCTTGGCGGCCGCAGCAGGTCGAGCCCCCACCGCCACAGCAGCAGCAGCAGAGGCAGCAGTCACTGGCCAGACAGGTGTAGATGTTCAGCTTCTTCTCTTTTTGGCAACGCACGGCAAGCACGATCATGGCTAGCAGGAATATGAAAGACACCGAGCCCAGCGCAATGATGAGGATGAGGGTGAGGTCCAGCGAGGTCTCCGCGCCGCCGGAGCGGCTGGGGCGCTGATGCTCCCCTGACCCCCCGCTACCGCCCCCGCCCCCTCCCTGGGGCTCCACGGCTCCATCCACCAGCTGCACCACCAGTGTGGCAGTGGAGGACAGGGGCGGCTGCCCGTGGTCGCGCACCTCGATCACCAGCTCGTAAGGCCGCTGGGGGTCGCGCTTGGCCGGCACCCGGCGCGCGGTGCGGAGTTCCCCGGTGCGCCAGTCCATGCGGAAGAGGTTCATTTCGTTGCCTCGCACAATGCTGTAGGTGAGCCGGGCGTTCTCGCCGTCGTCTGCGTCCACTGCGGCCACGCGGGTCAGCAGGTAGCCTGGCTCCGCCGACCTGGGCAGCACCTCCCGCGCTGGAGTCCCGTTGCGCCCAGGCAGGGGCGCCACGATGGCAGGGGCGTTGTCGTTCTGGTCCACGATGAGGATGTTGACGGTGGCGTTGCCGGCCAGAGCCTGGGGGCTGCCGGCGTCCCGAGCTTCCACCTGGAAGCTGAAGTCCTTGAGCTGCTCGTAATCGAAGGAGCGCAGGGCGTACAAGTAGCCGTTCTCAGAGTTGATGGACACGTAAGTGAAGACGCTCATGCCCTGGATCTGGCACTCGAGGATAGAGTAGGCTAGCTGGGCGTTGGCGCCCTCGTCGCGGTCTGTGGCGCTTACCGCGTAGATATAGGCGCCGGGCACGTTGTTCTCGGTCACATACACGTCGTAGACCGGCTGGCTAAACCGCGGTGCGTTGTCGTTCACATCTGACACTTGCACCTGGATCGACTTACTGGTGGAGAGCGCCGGCTCGCCCCGGTCCCGAGCCACAACGGTCAGGGTGTAGGAGTCCCCGGCCTCTCGGTCCAGGGGGGCTTCGGTCACGATCGTATAGTAGTTCTTGAAGGAAGACTTGAGGCGGAACGGCACATCCCCCAGCAGCTCGCACTGCACCTGCCCATTCTCCTCGGAGTCGCGGTCGGTCACGCTGAACAGGGCCACCACGGTCCCGGGCGCCGCGCCCTCGCTCACCGCCTCCTTCACCGTGCTGAAGCTGATCTCCGGAGCGTTGTCGTTAGCATCCAGTACTCGCACAAGCACCTTGCAGTGCGCGGGCACCGCGTTGGGGCCCAGGTCCTTGGCTTGTACGTACACTTGGTACACCGGGCTCTCTTCATAGTCTAGCTCTCCGCTCACCTCCAGCCGGCCAGTGCGCGGGGAGAGTCCAAAGAGCTCCCGCGCCCGGGGCGAAATGTGGCTGCTGAAGGAATACACGACTTCGCCATTCTGGCCCTCATCTGGGTCTGTGGCGTTGAGCTGGATTACGAGCGTGCCCGGCGGCGAGTTCTCTGGTAGAGACACAGTGTAGACGGGTTGGTCGAAGGCGGGGACGTTGTCGTTGGAGTCCAGCACTCGGATGGTGAGTAGGGCAGTGCCGGTGCGCTGCTGTTGGGGGGGCAGGCCCCCTCCCCCGCCGCCTCCCCCTCCTTCTCCTCCTCCTCCCCCTCCTCCCCCGTCCACCGCGGTCAGCACGTAGCGGTGCACCGCTTGCTGCTCTCGGTCCAGCGGCTTCTCTAGCACCAGCTCGGCGAATCGGTTGCCATCCCCCTGGGTCTGCACGTCCAGGGAGAAGTAGCTGTTGGGGGTGATTTCGTAGTCGCGCAAGGAGTTGGTGCCCACGTCTGGGTCGAATGCGCTCTCCAGCGGGAAGCGGGTGCCCGGCGTGGCGCTCTCAGAGATCTCCACAGTCAGGTCCGGCTCCGGGAAGGAGGGGGGGTTGTCATTGATGTCCAGCACTTCGATCTCCACACGGAAGAGCTCGAGGGGGTTCTCCAGGAAGACCTCCAGGTGCAGGACGCAGGACGGGCTCTGCTTGCAGATTTGCTCGCGGTCGATCTTCTCGTTCACGTACAGCACCCCGGTCTCCAGGTTGAGGTCCAAGTAAGGGGTCCGCGAGTTGGGCACCGTTTGAAACCTGCGAGCTGAAAGTTTTGTAATGTCCAAGCCCAGATCTTCAGCGATATTCCCCACGAAAGTGCCATGTTCCTGCTCCTCCTGCACTGTGTAGTGAAGCTGGGAAAAGACTCCTTCCACCATCCAGAGCAAGGCAAAGAATAATAGCACAATCATCTCCAAAGGGAAAGGAAGCAGCTTCCCGCAGCCAGTCAGCCACCCAATCACCTCCCCCACCACCACAGAAAAAAAAAAAAAATCTAAAAAAAAAAACCAAAAAACAAATAAAAGTGCGCTGTGTGGGGGGCTCCTGTGGCTTTCTGTCCTGAAAAATCTTATTCCTCTTGCTTCATTTTAGGGCTTCCCCCAACTCAGCCTCATTTTTCAATCTTAGCGCAGGAAGGGTGACAGGCGTCCCCTTTCCTCATCGGTAATCTTCCCACTGACCAATTAATAAAATAATAATACAATAGTCAGCGTCCTTTATTCCGACAGTCTTGGCGCAACGCGGCGCTGGCAAATCCCAAGGAGGAAATTTCGATATTTCAAGACTGTCCTCGGTTTGTCTTCTTGCTGATGGGAGGAGAAGGAGGAGGAGGAAAAGAAGGAGGGGGAGGAGGAGGAGGAGGAGGTGGTGGTGGTGGCGGTGGTGGTGATGGTGATGGTGGAGGAAGATGAGGAGGAGGAAGATGAAGAGGAAGAGGAGAAGGAAGAGGAGACGCTGCTGGCACCGCTGAACATGCCTCAATGTCAACGGCTGGCAAATGCAAAAGGGCTTAAAAACAGCAAGAGAATTTTTTGCCGGAAAAACATAGAACGGCTCTGCAGCATAAAACTTTCATTCTCTTCATTTCTCCGGATGGATGTTCTTCTTGGCATTTTCTCCTCTTTCGTTTTATTTGTATTTTTTGGCTCTCATAGTTTTGTCTTTCTCTGTCCTCATCTCCAGCATCATTTGCCTCTCTAGAAGTGTGATGAGCGGCTTCTTTCCTGCTGTTTTCTTCCCAAGCCTCTTTCCCTCTAACCTGTCTCTCTTCCTTCCAGTCTTTCCCTCCTCCTGCTTTAGTCCTAGAGACTGTGATCTCGGCTGGCAGTTTCTGAGCTCCGAGCGCTCCGCTTTTCTGTTTTTGCGCAGCGCCCTCATTCTGCCAACCAATCGCTGAGGAGCACCACCCACCGAGCCACCGCTAACTGGCAGATCTGGCTGTCAATCATGAGCGTCACTCGGCAGCCGGGAGGGGCGGGATGGAACCCGCGTTCGGGCGGGCTGCCGGGGTGAGTGTGAGTGTGAGAGTGAGAACAGCCCGGCAGGTCCCGAGGCGCTGGCTGGGGACTCTGCCGCGGAAAGTTCCCAGTCCCCAGCCGCAGGTAATGGAGAGGGAATAGAGAGGTTCCCCTGTTTGCATCAGCAAATGCGAAAACATAATAGCAACAGCAGCGGTATCCTCTCCCAGGAGCGGGGTTTCCAATGACGCTAACATTCTTTTTCCTTTAAGGTGTTTTCCTTTACTACCGATCGTGGAAATAAATCACCGAGAAGGGGAAAAGTTGCAGAGGGGCCGCTAACTGACAGGGGTTACCTAACGAAGGGGCTCTGGCCGAGACTGCCTGTACGATTTTAAAAAAGGGATATAACATGGGTTGTGTCAAACTAAGCGGGAGGGTCTATCGGGGCTGGATGCAGCGGAGTGAGGCAGTTGGGGCGTGGGGCGGAGGTGGGTCCTGAAAAGCCGAGGAATTCACGCCGGGAGATGTGGGCTGGCAGCTACTGTAGATGTGCAGACGCGTTAGACGTGCCTCTGCCCTTCTTCAGTGTATATCCGTAACATTCTTACCAAACAGATTATCTCCCCTGGGGACCTAGTTAGGGCTACGAGCGCTTTGATCAATGACTGAGGAATTCCATTTGAGCACTACCTGCAAGCACGCCAGCCTAACGCCCGACTCTCTGGCAACCGAGCGCCGCTGGGCGCTGTAAGGCGCCCCGGATATCCCTGCGCCTCGCCCTGCCAAGTGCTTCGCTGCGGCGGCGCGCACGGGCTATTTTCTGCTTTTTGTGACATTTGGAGATCCCCTTCCCCGCCCCCATTATAGACCCGGGCAGCGATTCTTGCCCAGTTTGGGGCAAGACCGCTAGGTGAAAACGGCGGGGCTGCTGAGAACATGCGCAGGGGTGGGGGTGGGTAGGCGGGCAGGGGCTGAGCACATGCGGGGCCCGAGTCTGTGCCTCTGCGGTTATCAGCGAAGGCGCTCGCACACTGACGGCGCTCGCATCCATCCTCCCCCATGCCGGAGCTCAGGTCTGTGAAAGCCCCAGCGGAGTCCCGAACCCCCCACCCGGATCTCGAAGGATGCGCTTGACGAACTCTGAGGGCCCACTGCCGTGGCGCGGGGGCAAAGCAGAGCATGCATGCATCCACTTCTTGTGAAGTTAAAATACAGCGCGAACTCTTGTTAGAGAGTGGAATGAATGTCCATTCTCCGAGAAAAAAGATTTTTTAAAGCATGTTTTTATACTAATTAATGGGCTGTACGGGGGTTGTTTATTCACTAAAGCTGCCCCAGTTTAGTCGTCTTATGCCACAATATGGGACGATCCCTCGCGGCTTCCTGGTAATGAATGACCCGAGGGTAACACCAACACAACCTTCGAGAAAAGGCGGACCATTTCCCCAAGCCCGAGGTACGTTTTCATCTCTTCGTGATAGGGAATTAAGCAGAGCAAGTGTCCACGGGCGTGATTGCAGACGGAGGCATGCCTCTGTGAGTCCCGAGAGTGCGTGTCTACTGCCCTGCCCCCCCCC